AGGTTTCTCCCTTTCATTACTATGAAAGTCAGATGAAAATACCCTTAAAAACACTACTCTCAGGGGCAAACCGAAAGCAGGATTTGTCTCCTGGAGACTACTCTATTAAACAAAAAAATGTCCTCTCAATTACTCCAGAACCAGAGTGAAATTGTAACATAGTTGTAACCTGGACACTCTACCAGTTTGCTGGGGACTTCATTCACTGCTAAACGAGATAAGGATTACAGCATGGCTGTGGCAAACCTGGAACTAATAAAATATTCTCTGGGGCCTTTTTTTTTCCTCTTTATAACATATATTATGACAATTTAACATATTAAACCTTCATGTTAGATTAGAGGAAATATCTAATGAATTAAATATATTTATTGACTTATTTGTATGGTTGTAAGAGTTAAATTTGTTTATATACTTTAATTTTTTAAGCTGATTTTTTAAATTCTCTGAAAAAGCCAATTCTTTTCCAAACTCATTCCCAAACTAATTAACTCACTTGAATACAGATATATGAAAATTTTAATTTAAAGTCAGAGTTGGGTTTTCTTCCTCTAGTTCTTTAGGCTTGTAATGATTTTTAGTTAATCGGAACAATTTGTGTCTTTCCTTTTCATGTAATGGCAAAACCATTAACCTAGTCCTTGGTGTGATACTTGAAAGCCTCAGTATAAGACACACAGTATTTTATTTTTATTTATTTATTTATTTATTTATTTATTTATTTATTTATTTATTTATTTTTGCGGCACGCAGGCCTCTCACTGCTGTGGCCTCTCCTGTTGAGGAGCACAGGCTCTGGACGCGCAGGCTCAGAGGCCATGGCGCACGGGCCCAGCCGCTCCGCGGCATGTGGGATCTTCCCGGACCGGGGCACGAACCCGTGTCCCCTGCATCGGCAGGCGGACTCTCAACCACTGCGCCACCAGGGAAGCCCAAGACGCACAGTATTTTAAATGACTCTATTTTACAATAAGGTCTTTTCAATGTTTGAATAATTAAATATGCTTTATACTAAATGTTGCTGTCCTATAACATACTGTGGCCTACCGTGAATGGTACAATAACTCTTCAGCATACATACTGTATTTTCTACATAGGCTCATAATAGAAAATAGAAAATCGTTTTCCAATAGCATTACATATAGCATGAAAATGAGTTTTTAAAACAGTGTTGACAATCCTAATTTAAATCAAATAGGTCATAATGATATTTCTTTAACAAGATTAGAATGGAGAGTAAGCTTCTATATCAAATTTTAAGAGTTACTCATTGCACTGTGTATCACGTTTATATGAGACAGACCATGCTCTAGTGCCTGGGGCGTAAGTCAGAGGATCAACTTCTATGAACTAAAGCTCTAGACATACCATTAACAGCATACTTTCTGTGGCTTTATCCTCTTATCTAACATAGGGGTATAAGTATATTGACCTGTCTCAGAGTATATTATTTTTTACAGTCTAGTAAGTTAAAATTATTTAAAAACAGTTAAGCAGTACAGGTCAAAATTTATTTTCCTAGTAATGAATATTCTAATGCATGTAACTTTTTCAGACGTCAGTTCTAACCTGCTTTCTTCTATAAGAGTTAGCTTATAATTGTTTTAACTTAATATTCACATAAAGACAGATTTCCTGTATCTCATTATAACTTTACTTAGCTTAATTTTCCCACTAGTGAGGCATCCTATTTATTTTTGAAATAGTAACAATTTCCAAATTACTTTTTAAAATGTTAATGATGATAAAAATTTAAATGAGCACTAATACCTTAGAAATACAACATTTTACATTATTATGTAATTGAAACTAAATTTGTGTATATATTTGCAATGGAGGGGGTCTCAATAATGCATTTTCTTAAATTAAAATGAACCCATTTGAGATTTCAAATGTTATATTTAATACAACTGGCTCTTTCTGCCCCCACTTAAAAACATACCACAATAACACTAACTGCAATCGATACTGTTACATAGCCCTAAAAGTTACTTTTTTATTTCAAAATACTCAAACTACATATGTTTGAAGGTACCTATAATTTGGCATAGCCACTAAAAAAAATAAAACTCACAATGTATTCGTAGACAAAAACTACAAAAGTATATTTTAATGCTTTTAAAAGTTATTCCATGTAATAATCAATATCGTTAAAATCAACTCCCAATAAAATTTGTTTTTTTTCTTTTAATGATCCAGATCTAAAGTGAAATGATGAAATCGAAAAACAACTGTTCTTGTCAGAAGACAGGAAGAGAGTTTTTTCCCCTTCCCTTAAGGAAAACAAAGGATTCCTGAAAGCTTTGGCCTGATTTATTTTTCCAATTTTAAATACCTTAAGAGTAGCGGAACTGCTACTGGCATGGTAGTATTTCTAACAGTCAATAAATCTAAAATATTATGTGTGAATATTGGAATGAAGCCATTAAGAAGATTACAGCATGCAACACAGCAGAGGGTCCACAGGAAAAAAGAACTAGTAATTCAGGACAACTGTGACCACTGACCTTGGAACAGCCAAGACCACTGGTCAAGCTGACACGATAATAAAGTGCACATGCACAGAAAGTCATCTAGCCTGTAAGCATAATTTTAATGTTTTGGTGAATGATTTTAAAATGCCCCCATTTAAATATCAGTTAATTTATTAAATTATCAAACAATACCAACTGTAATATTTTTCAGGCTTCAAGTATATTTTATTAATTCAAGTCCCAGAAAAATTCAGTATGATCATTTGTGATTTTTAACACGTCTCATTTAAAACATTTACAATTATAGCAAGTATGATGTGATACTTTATTGTATTTCCTATTATAAGAGATAGCTGTGGAAAACTGATGAAAAAGCTAAATTTATTAGAGCTGGGTTAAACAAACAATCACCTGAAACATTTTTAGAAAATGACTCTAACTTTAAAACATCTCATACTTTCAGTAGATAGTCCTAGCTCCACCTCAGGACTATTTCAGTTTATTCATTCTTCAAATTTGTCTAAGTCTGCGCTCCTTAATTCCGAGCATATATTTAGTTATATCTACATTACCTTGCAGAGTTCCTTTTTATGAATTCTTTTTTTACTATTTCAGTTATGTTCAGTTAACTGTTGCTTATAAATAAACAATGAGATGGCCCCTCTTGTCATTTTATATATTTAGGCTTTTACATTTCATGAATATTGTTTAACTTCCTCACATATTTAAATAAATGTTTCAATACCAAACTAATTCTACTAGGAAAGTAGAGGTTCCCAATTTAAAAAGAATCACTCATCAAAAAATTACTATTAAAGATTGTTTTTCTCGAAGAAATAATCAGCTATCACTGGAGCTGACTATAAAAATTTTAATATAACACAAGAAAGCTGATTTCTTTTTCTTTTTTCTTCCTCTTTCTTATCCTTCCTCATTTAAAAAAAAATAAACAATCCTTTCTTCTTAGGGAATTAATAGTAGGAACTACATGCACATAAGGAAAACATTCTTAAAAGTTGGGACTTTATTTTCATAATTATGTCCCTATCCAGTGAAGAATACTTTGATGGATTTCTAAATGAACAACTCTAATCCTTTCTAGCAGCTTCTGCAAAATCTTTATAATGAGGCAATCGAGTTATAATGAGCTAAAAAGATAATATAATTCTTCACTGGCCTGGGTTTGGATTTGTTCATACATAGCATAAATTTTACTACAGTTAGATAAAGTAGTTCGATTTAATTTGCTTCAAGGTCAGCAAGTATTTCAGGTTATTTATGGGCATAAATAATCTGATTTTGACTTTAAAGTCACATTTTCCCTATCACTAGCCATAAAAGCAATCAAGGCTAGTATTACTGTATTTTCTGAGTTTGAGATTTTTTTTATTCTTTTTTATTTTCAAGCTCCCTAATAGTGATTTCAAAGTACTTGCAGTATTACAGAAAAAAAATATATTTTAAAGGTTTTTTTATTCCCTAATTTTTATATAGCTGAATAAACAATGTTTTTTTTTAAAAAGAGGAGTTATTTTAACTTAGAACTATGTTATAAAGATATTTTAAAATAGCCATTAGAATATATACAGAAACAGTACAATCTGCATTTTTACCCTGTTCTAAGGAATACGAAGGCCAGAAAATTTACTTTGGAGACTATTTAACACAAAATACAGAATATATCCTATTATAAGCTGCAGACCCACACATGCACACACACACAAACCTCTGCAAGATCAAAGACCAGAAGAGAGCTGGCACTTAATTTATCAGCCTTTACAGACAAAAGACAGTTTTCGTCATTTCAAAAGGATCAGATGTCTTTTATGACAAACTGGGTTTGCAGTTTAATTTACAAATAGAATTCTAAGTAAGCAGTCTTTGCTCTGCCAGAGCAAATGACAAACAGTGTAGGTTTTCATTCTTGCAGCCCTCAGCAGGATAGAAAGGATTAAAATAAAACTGAAATAATTTAGAGAAAACAAATAAATGTTTCAGAAAGTTGAGGGAGATCAAAGCCAGAATTTTCTGACCCCAACTGTACAAGCATTTCTTATTATATTGACCAGTGCCATCAGATCATTAATTAAAAGGAAAAGCGCTGGCAGGTGGCAGGGAAGCAAAAGCCGATAATTGGCCCCCTTCTTCTTCTTGCCTTCAAAAACTCTCTCATTCTTTTGCAAGACATGCCACTAGGCAGACAGAAATGCCTACTTTGTAATATAATGATTAAGATGAGATGAAGAGACTTATGTTTAAAGAAACTCTGCCTAATGAATGCATCTAGCTTTTTAATTACGATCCTACTTTTACAATAAGGAATATGATATTGCATCTGACATCTCCTCAACTGCCAAAAGGTAAAAATACGAAAGACAGACTCTGCTTTGACTCCTCTCACACCACATGCTCATATTCAGCCCTTCTATTTCAGACAGAAAAATGGGAAAGTAACTCTTGGTGATTCAAGGGTCCAGGAGAAAACATATATATGTTTGTTCACCACAAAATATCCTCCAGACTTACCACGTCACTCGGTAGGCTGCTCAAGTCATTAAATGGTGATTCTAAAGTGTTTGTGTCAACATTTAACATAACCACATCCTCCAATGATTTATTTTTCACTCTCTGTTTAAAAAACACAATTATAAACAAACATCTTAGTATATTTTCCTTCCAAAGCTATAATGAACTTAGATATGTAGAGAAAATTATCTTAATGCATTATCCTTAGGAAAAGAAAAAAGGAAAATTCTACATCATAAAAGAATATAAACAATTTTGCCTTATGAGAAAGTCTGTCTAAACCATTCAAAAAGAAAGATTAAAAATGCTTAAAATAGCATGTTTACTCATCTAAATATATTAATAGTTTGGAGACACTGAATGTAATTTAACTACCACAGAGATACTACAACAAATACAAAATAGGCATGGCTACATTAAACTGTAAAAATTTATATCCTTTAAATTTTACCAATTGAATTTCAATCCTATGATACAGGAACGTGTGGCCAGTTCTATAGCTATTTTTAGCCTAAATCATACTGTGGGGTTAACACAAAACAATAAATATGACTACTAAGTAGTAAAGTAAGTTTTAAATTAATAAATATTTTCTCTGTATCTCTATGTAAATTTGGTATAAGTTGATGATGACAAGTGAAATTAAGAAAAAATGACAGAGAGCAGTAATATGGAATTTACTGTTAGTAATATTTATCCCATGAATTTAATATAAAGGATCAAATTTAACAGCCTATCAGATTAACTATTTGACTTGTCATATTTGTTTGAAAGCTTAGTCAAATGGTCAAATTATCTCAATATATGCACAAATGATAGTAAATTAGAATTTATTAAATTTTTATCCTTAAAGAAAGAAAATATTTAGTTTATTTTTCTTATTTAAACTAATATATCTACTTAAACAAATCATATAATTCTATTAGTCTTATCTAGATGATAGCAAATAATATTATTTCCTAATGAAAATAAGTAAGGTGTGCATTAATGAAATATATCCATCAACCCAGAATTCCCTAATTGCATAGGTCAACTAGCAATTGGTCAATTAATTTCAGTGCAGTAGTTTTAAAAGTGACATTCTAGAATAATAGCCATTTTTTCAGATTATTTAAATAGCTTAATATTAAATTGGCCAAGCCAATTTTTTAAGTTAGCCAAGACTGGAATTTCTGTGATCCACTTAGAATTTCAAATCTCTGCGTATCAGGTAGAATGTTAAATTTGCTAGGAAAATGGTAGTCTAGAGTAGGGAATTTTTATGTGTTAGGATAGCCACAATGTCTATGTGGAATATGCATTCTCAAGGAGGCACGTGATTCTAAAACTCTATCCTGTAAAAGACATTATAATTATTCAAAAGTAAGACTCAGAAAATGGCCATTTCTAAGAGAGTAGCTTATAACAGTGATACTATTATCAAAACATTTATAAATAAACTCATTTCATTTCCATGTACATACATATATGTAAAAAAGCTTTACATATATAAATATGTGGTTATCTACAAATCAACTATAGCATAACTACAAAAATAACCTATGAACAAAAACTATATTTATATTAATGGCATTTGTATGCAAAAAGCATATCATAATTTTGATTTCCATCTTCAATTCTAAGTTGCCCTTTTAACAGAAAATGTAAAGATAATCCAGAAACCTGATGTAGTTTTCAGGGAATGAAATGAGTTCATCTAAATAGCATAGAGTAATGGTTATGTGGCCCCAAAATGTTTGTAATGACGCTAACACTAAACTCTGAATAGCTGAGTCACCTTGCTGTGCACCTGAAACTATCACAACATTGTTAAACGGTTATACTCCAATATAAAATAAAAAGTTAAAAAAAAATCTCGGAATAAAGGAAATTAGCATTAGTATGAAATGTATACCTTTTTCAAAGTTTCTCTTAGTTTTAAGAAGTCTGATAATAGCTGAATATTAAAATTTGTTAACGGGAACACTCATTAAGAATGGAAAATGTATTCATTTCAATAAATCAACAGACTGGGCCTCCCTAAAATGAGAACCATTCTACATAAGCAAAAAAGGGGGGAGAAGATAGCATGTAATTTAAATCTTTAAAAAAAAATTCTTATTAATGTATTTTCTCTGTTATTTCCCTCCAAATCAGGCTTTAGCCATTTTTTTCTAAACAGGAGTGGAAAGTCATATGGCATATAAAACAGCACCACTTTCTCTGCCCCATATTTTTATGTCTCATAAAATTCATCAACTTGTTTGGATGGTGAAAGAGTAAGAAAATGTGAAAAAACAATGTGCTTTGCTGAACCGGCGAGACTCCTGGAATCCTCCACACGCCATCCTCCTTCCAGGTGATGCCAGCACACCTGCACACTCTGCACATGGAGCAAGGGAAGGGACACGGTGGAAGCAGCCACACGATACTGTGAAACTGGGCAAACACTTTACCTAGAATCATTTGTGTATTAAAACAAATAATATAACCCTCACATCTGTAGCCTGTACTGACTTATTCCAATCACAGGTCTTAGTTTGCTTTGACTTCATCCCTAAAGGCTAGTTTTCAGGGAGAACAAAATGCCCTTGTCCTTTATTTTAGAAGCAAATTTACTTTTTAAAAAGAGATTTCTAGTCATCTTTTACTTATGATCGCATAAAAATAATTTTTAAAAAAGATTTAGAAAGACATTAATTTCATGTCTTTGAACAATTATGTTTAAAAGTCTTTGTAAAACTGATAAAAAGTGTTGAAACTGTCTTGACTGAGAGAAGAGAATATTTTGATTCTTCCTCCACAAAAAATTAGTTGTATTTGCAGCCAAACAAATGTGAAAAATTATTCAGTTCTGTCTCATATATAAAATATGTAAATATATATTTATATTTTAATTATAATACCATTTATATAAAATAAAAAAGCACAAAAGATCAGAATTTTAGTGAAAATAATCTGTGTAATAATGTCATCATAAAAATAGAAACATAGGATCTGTATCACCTGGTAAAAGATTAAGAAGAAAATTACTAAATGGTACCCAACTGGTTGAAAGACATTCTTAAAGTTCCTATTATAGTTTCTCATTCACTATTAAACCAAATAAAACTGACTATTAAGACAGTTTGATAAGTCCAGAGTATAAAAGGTACAGAGATTTCAGCCGATCTAATCATGGCTTTACACAGTCTCATTTAATAAGAGCCAACTTAAAGTTAGAAAGGACTGCTTCTCCAAGACAATACTCTAAGGAGTAAAAAATTCTTAAATTTGCTCCTTTAAAAAAGGACTGATTTTCTCTACAGGTGTACAATAAACATGTGATAAACTGAATTGAATATCTAAAGCATGTGCTCCTTTCTACAATATTTTGGAAAAGCTTAATCATTTGTTTTAAAAGTTGGTCTAGAATCATTATGTAAAAATAATAACAACATCAACAGGTACAATCAACCACTTTAAATATTTTTCATCTGTATAAATAAATGTAATAACTACATATTCTATTAGGTACATTACGTAAGAAGAGATATGTGCACTGACATCAAAATCAAATTTGATGACTTTTTTTGAAACCATACCAACCAACCATGGTTAGATTTTGCAAAAAGTCATACTACTGATGAATAAAATGCCAGTCATATATTCCACACTCTAATAACAGATTAAATACCTATTTATTCATGTTTTATCTTATACAATTTGTCCTTTCACTGCAAGTACCTTGGGCTGTAAGAATTTTTCTAAAAATTGACAAAATATAGAGTCATAATGTTATCCAACCCAGACTACAAAATTAAAAAGGAATTAAACCTACTAAAAATTCATTATAATGTATTCTTTATTAATGGTTAAAGCACGACTCTCTCCACAAAGGATGCTCAGGAATTTTAAAATAATCACCAGGCTCTTCCTTGATCAGCAAAATGATGACTGATGGTATATACAATGACAACAACTAATCAGAAAACCAAATCTAACTCATTAAAGTTGCTTATTAGAAACTGGGTTAAAGTACAATATGAACAACCAGCAAGAAAAGAAATATATTTGAAAAAATCAGCCGGCATAATGATGCCATGCAACTGACCCAAGTCTTTTGTTTACTTTTTTAGAAGCTAATCTTATAAGAAGTCCTCTCTGGCAATCTCACCGATTTCAAGCTCAAGGTGTTTAAAGCTCAAGGTTTTTCACTACAGTGATAACAAGTGACAAATGTCATTTTCGAATGACAGTGCAAAAAAAAAAACCAAACTACATTTTAAGTCCCAACAGGACTGAAATTAAAGTCTTATAAAGTTATATTCTAATTTAAAAGTTCATGATTAGTGTATTAAAACACATTTTGAAAAACACTGGTACACTGAATTATAGTGAAGTTTGCAAAATAAAAACACTTTCCCTTTATGACTCATAATTACATAAATTCTCACTTTCAAAATACAGAAATATTTCTTCTGAAAGAGAAATAGATATAAAAGACCTCAAGTTCCATAAAGAAAGTGGTTCATCAAACACTAAGGTTTTTAGTATTTAAAACTTACCCTATGACTTGAACCAAATAGAACCTACTTTCAATAGGTCTCGTACCACTGAAGATGGTCATTTTGCATACTAATTAAAATAAAGTTATTTTAACACTACCTTTTTGAAAATGATCATGTAAGTACACTCTAAATATGCAACTAGTCACTTCTTTGTACTATTCAATTGATATTCTTTCAAAACACAACTGTTTTAAATTAATTCATAAAAATAATAGTTATCACCATCTCATGTCTGAAAGATACTCACCTCTATGAGGCTGGAGTGTATTCCGATCAGGTACGGCATTGGGGCACTAAATTAAAAATATATATGTATGTATTCATATAGCTCATTAAAACTGAAACAATAATATAAGTAATTCAGAATGCTTTAAAAAATAAATTTATTAAATGTATAGTTCTAACATAGTACACCATAGATATTTAAAATTATTCAGTATAGAAAACTCAAATATAATCTTAGAGGCCATTAATATATTCAAATTAAGGTTGATTTATATAAAATCACAAAATCATTTATAATTAAAAGTTAAAATGTTTAAAAAACAAGAATATTAGGGTCTAGGCCGTAGTCTGGGATGAATCTTTTCTGTATACGTCCCATCAAATATATCCTAAATAATCATCAAATTTACTAACATTTCTTTGTACAGTTTTTTTATTCAGTTAGATTCTTATATGATTTTCTTAATATATATTCATTGTTTCACACCTACTATTTAGTCACCCAAATTTTTGAGTCAGTCACAATATATTTACTGAGACCTACTATGTGCCAGGCACGGTTTGGGAACTAGAGGTGCAAAGATAAATAATTTCCTCCCCCACTGTTACCATTCTATTTCTGTGCTATCTTTCCACTCATGTATCTTGTCTATTATTTAAACTCTGTACATTCTTATTTATCCCACTTTTAATTGTAATAATAATATAATTTTAATAAATTTAAAAATATTCAGGTAAGTTTAAGAATTCTATTGATTAATTCAACACAATATGTGGGGCATACTCAGGTGCCAGTACCTGGCATAGGGGTTAGGGTACAATAATAAACAATATAGACAGAATATATTCCCTTCTGGAGCTTATACTCTGGCAAAGAATACAGACATTAAATAATTTTTGTAATATACAAATTAAGACTTACTAGCAATTTCAAAAATATTTCTCATGAAATATAGGGCGGAAATTATTCAACTTGACATTTCAAAATTAAAATGTTATTTAACAAGAAAACATGAAAATGAACAATGTCTACAAATGTGATAGAAGATATGCAAATAAATAGCTAGTTAAAAATAAAACATTTTTGGCATTTCTTTTGTATACATCTTTGTGTTATATTTAATGCAAACCTTTTCTGTTAATGAAAACAGATAACCTTCTTTTTCAAAGAATTTGCATAATTTCCCAAACATCCCCGTCATTATTAGAACAGAGCTGTCCAAACTCCTGCATGTCCACTTTGCTACTGAGAATCAGTAACAGATAAAAGAGGCACCTTGGTAGATCCACAGTTTTCAAAGTAACCTTAAACAGTTCCTAATTTATTCAAGGATGGCTAGCCACTAACTTCTATATCCAGGATTCACAAAACATAAAAACGGTTCAAGTTCTTATTCCAATCCTTATTAGCCTGTTCCTTAAGTCATATTGTACTAGATTCTAATTCCCAGTTGTCTTTGTCTTCTACAGCTTTGTTCCTTCTTATTTCTTTTTATTTTTATGCAGTAGACCATCTGGAATTGATCTGATATTCTGGATATTTCATTTGACTGAAAGTTGAGAACTATTTATAGGCCTTGATATCCCTAAGATCTAACATATTTTCTGCCTTCAAAAGGAAACAGAAGGAATAAATGTGGACTCTTCCACTTTTGCTTAAATAAAAGGAGGCTAGTTGCTTCCCCAGTTCAAGTTCTCATCTCTGGAATTCCTTCTGTGACTCCATAGACGATATAAAATATGTGCCACTAACTCCTCTGGGCTCCCATGACTGGGTTCCGGCAACTTTCACAAAACAGGGTGGGCAACTCCCAAGATCTTAAATATGTCAAGCCTTCTCCACACCCCAAATAGTACAAATTTATTAAAGTTACCGTGCAATTTTCCAATTCGCCCCAGGCTAGGTTATCCGACCAACAAGATTCATAATATAGAAAGATTCAAAATATCTCAAACCTCAAAGCACGTTTTAATACAATGAGTGTTAATCAAAACACTTAAGACTTCTAAAATAATTATTACATCCATTTTACGTATGTTGAAGGTACACTGAGTGGATTTCAGATTTCAAACAATCAGAGCCCAAAGTAATAACTACCAACTGAAGTCCTACGAAATACATCTAAGATAACACTTTTAAAACTTCATGAAAGCTAGTTATCTCTTGAAACATAAACAATAAATTTACAGAAATTGTAAAACTAGAATAAAAATCCAATAAAGAATTCCTATGCAGATTTAATAATAAAGTAACCCAAAACTTTTTCTATGGGATCACTGGGTATCTCTACGTGTTTTTACCTCACTAATTTCTACAAAATCTAAAATATAAACATGTTAGACTGCAAACATTATTAACTAGAGCATACTTTCCTAAAATAAATATGATGTTTTTTCAGAATATAGATTTAACTGAATAGCTATTTCATTGTCATGAAAATTGGATTGTATACATCCTAATATTAAGTCAGCCAAGTCTCATGAAAAGTGATTTTGCTCCCCTAGCTGAAATCTCCTAATGAGACAGTGTTAATAAGTCAGGAAGAGATCCTTGGCAACACAGATGTGTTATCAGCTATGTGCAAAACTATCCTAGATCTTTCTGTCAATGGAATTATTTTGCAAAGATAAGATACAGAAGGCTCTATTATGACTGCTGCTTCTTTTCGGTAGCAGCTAATCTTTGCTGAAAAATAATTACTATGTATTAGCTTTTTTTCTTTTTAGGTTTTCTCATGGAGGCCACCCATGGGGTAGACTGTAACAGCAGTATATTAACTTAGGGTAGTCTAAACAACATAATCTACCATTTATGTTTTTAAAACACGATTCTCTTAGGAGCTAAATCTTCTCCTTTCATAGAATGAAGAATCAGATAGATAATAGCCTAAATAAAAAGGTGACAACCATTCTCGAACAAATAAATGATTATACTTTTACTGGTACTGGAATCATACTACCTCCGAGGTGTTTAAGGGCTCAGAAGGTTAAGCGTGTCTGGCAACATCACTTTAGACTTGCTATATTAAAGTACTTTCCCTTTGTTGTTTTGTTTTGTTTTGCTTTGTTTTTTCAGTATCAATACCTAACATGAGATCCACCCTCTTAGCAAATTTTTAGGTCTACAATAGAGTATTGGTTAAGTAAAGGCACAATGTTATACAGATCTCTAAAACTCAATCACCTTGAATAACTGAAACTTTATACCTGTTAAATAGAAACTCCCCATTTTCCCCTTATACTGGTAGATTAAGGGGAAAACAAAGATGGCGTCACTTCTTCCCAGTAGCCTTCCCTACCCTAGCAGATAGGTGGGCACTTCCTCCTAGGTGTTCCACTCAGCATTCTTTTATACGCCTCAGACCTAAACCCTATAGCATCACAGTATTCCTCTGTGCTCATCATGTGCGCATGTGTACATGTGCACAAACGTGGGAATTTCTTCCTATCTGGGGATCCAAGAGGGCAGAAGCTACGTCTTACTCATTACATTACATACTTGCGGCCTGGCAAACACATGTTTATTAAATGTCTGGCATACAAATGGATGAATGAATGAGCCGACAAATTAGCAAGCCTTCGCCAGCCGACCAAGATGCGCTATTCATCCATGGTCACAAGATGGCATCGTGGCCCTCCAAGTCTGTGCCACACCAGAGACACACTTCCAGGAGCCAGGACTGCCTCAGGATTAGGAAAGCCCAATCACCTTGAAGAATTGGCAAAATACACATCTACCCCTATCACATCTTCCTGGTGCTATTTTTGGAGTGGAATATAAAATTTTCTTTAAAAAAAAACCCCATGAGATTGAAGGGATAATCTCTAATATTTTTCTCCCTTTTGCATATAGGATCATTTGCAAAGATGTAAAGGGAAGAAAACCACTTTCCCTAGGGAACAGTTTAGTCCATGGAATATTCTGACAATGAAAGAGAGCTGGAGTCATAGACAGCTATTTTCGGGAAAAAAAAAAAAAGTATATGATACTGCCCACTTCCTATGTTAGAAGCTGAGCCTATCACTGTGAACTTAAGGTTCAGGAACTCTCAGATAACTCCTTGTTTGACTATCACTGCTCTACTCTCTGGGCCAGAGAAGTGCCTGGCATGGCAGCTGTTAGAACTTGTCCTAAAGGGGCTATTTCAGAGGTTAGAAACTAGTAAGACTGAAATATGAAACAAGCTTCCTTCACCACAGTGGAAGCAGCAGAAAAAGGACTTGACGGCAGGGTTAGAAAGTATCAGGAAGACGTATCTGGAAAGAGGTAGCAATAGTTTCTAAATAACAGTATTTTAGAAAGTCCTAAGTGTGTAATCATTACAGAGAACTGAACTTAAAGGGATGTTACTTCCTAAGATTTCAGAACATTTTTTATAGAAAAATTTAAATGGCACTAATATTACATATGATAAAATATAATTCTAAACCTCACAATTAGAAGTGTTGGTTCTTGAACCACTACTTTAATATAGATTTAAAAAAATCATACATCAATATATTTTCAAATACTTTTGTCAATATTATTTAAAATAAGTTTTAATTACTGAATACTATGTGGAAAGATCTACTACACATGTCGACATGAAAGAATTGAGGTTCCTGCTTTCAAGGATGCTAATCTATTCTAGGTATACTGGTCAGAGAAGAACACTCTAAAGTGAATACCAAGAGAGCTATTTCTAGATCCAGCTTTACTCTCAGATTCGTGTGTGTGGTGCTTCACAGTGTAATTAAACCACACACCTACAGTCTCCTGCCCCACTGTTTCTCCCTCCCAGCACCCAAAGTGCAGAATGGCAGTGGGAGGTCACTGGAAACCTGCTGCCCAGCATTATCAATACTATTACCCTGCTGTGGAAACACACAATTCACTGGTATAATCAATATGTGGCCAAAGATATGTACTCTCGTTAAAAATCATTTGTCCTGAAGAGGGCTAGTCTTGAAAACGTCAATGTTATGAACTTAGATCATTTTAACCCTTAAACACTTTAAGTGATCTGCTTTTCATGAAATCAGAAAGTTACATAAATAACTACTTTGATCCTAAAAGAGCTTTGTTTTTTAATAACATTAGTTGTGATATAAATGAACACATTATGGTCAAAATCAATTCCTTCTTTCTGTGTGTGTGTGTGTGTGTGTGTGTGTGTGTGTGTGTGTGTGTACGTGCGCGCGCACATGCATGGTTTAGAGTAAAAATGTCATCTGGTTTCTTAAGAACTGAGCTACGCCTGCAGAAGACGATTACCCTACAGCCCCGAGGAAGATCCCAAGGCTGCTGTTTGGGAGTCTAATTCTTCCCTAACCTCCAGGAGAAGGGGACAGTTGAAGTCAGACTGGGTGAGATCACTGGCAGTTGTGTCTGTGATGCCAAGAAACTTTCCAGAATTGCCCCCGACACTTGTCAACACTGATTTTCACAGTGGCTCAAGGCTGAGGCTTCGATAACCAGGAACTCAGGGAACCCCTGCATTAGAGGCAACCCCTCTGCTGGTATCTGGTACTGGATGTGCTACTGAGGGAAGAGGCGTGCGGGAAAGTGTGTCCTGAGGGGGAGGTAACGAGCGTGTGCTCCAACATAGGCAACCTGGTGTCTGAAAGACTCTGTGGACAAATGCTGGCATCTGGGATGTGGTGCTCTCACTGACACTACAACTTCCGTAAAATGCTCCTAACCACCGCGAAGACTGGGTCGGCTTCTATTTATGCCTTTAGTTATCCAGATGATTATAGAAGAAACTCACAAAATCTAAAGAACTTTATGTTTGCCAAGTATAAATTTTTGCTACCTTTGGAGAGAACTACTCTTCCCTTCATAAAACCACCTTTTAATACTTGTTACTCATCTCCACGTCACGTTTCAGGGATCTCATTCATATATATACACACATGTACTCCAAGCTCACTTGATCTACACATGAATCGCTCTTTCTAACCCTAACACCTGGGCTGCCAGGAGTCCGGCAGAGCCAGCTTACCAGCAGTAGTCCAGCAGATGAGGAGGGAGCGCTGGGATGTAGATGTGCTGCCAGTACATCGGGTAGAGCAGGGCGACCGATCCATGGAGACAGGCGGTTAACTAGAATTTGTGAAAGGAAAACAGCAGTAAGCAGCCGCTGACCCTCCAGAGAGACATGCTCAAGTTATCAAAGACTGATGATACTCATAAAACAATTTACTTAACGACCTGAATCACATTATCTTGACCAATTCTGCCTGCAAAAAGCCTCATGTTTCAGAAGGCCCTCTGAAAAATACATAAGCAACAAAGTAGCTTCTTGGGCATCTTATGTGGACGGTTATAACTTCCTGAAAATATAGTGTTTTGGGGCAAAACTTAGAACATATAAAAGGAAACCTGAAAAATTAGGCGAGCATCTTAGAAGGAACCGTAGGAAAGTACAGTGTGTGCCGCCCAGGTTGCACTCACTCAGATTAATACACACCACGATGCAATATGGGAAGGAGGAGAGGCTGAAAGCTCCTGGGGGATATCATTAGGGCAAATTGCCAAAGAATGAAACATGAGCCAGTCAGGAGAGTCTGGAAGCTGCAGTATCACCAGGGGACTCAATGTTCGACAGTTGGAGCTTCAGCAACGTGTGAACCGCGGGTGACGGTATCAGGAGACTCTGCTCACTGACACGGAGAATGTCACTATTGACCAGCGAGCTGCCCAAGCTTGACAGCTGTACCACAGGAAGCCAAGGATATCATAATTTCATATTTAAACTGTTCATTTCAGATTAACATCGTGTTTCCTAGCTTTATATCACAACAGCTGCAAATACACTGATGCTATTTTAAAGGTAATTGCCATTTTAATTGTTTTGTTTTGGCAAGCAGTTAATTAAATATTTTTTAATGCTTAACAAAGGGATATCGCTTTTTTTTCCTCCCTCCTACTGACCCTCATCAGAATTCTTTCTCTGACTTCGTTTACATTTTAAATTATATTTCTGTACGTGTTGAGTCATTTCTTTAGCATTTAAAGCAATAATTAAATCAGCATTCTTCATTTTAAAGTTTTGCTATAGTCTGCATTTTCAAGACATTTACTGAATAAGTCATTTTATTTAACTTGAAAATCAGAATTTAAAAACAAAACCATCTGAAAATGCACCACAAAATTTCTATAAACCATTATTTCTATTTTATTATACAAAGGAATTAAAATTTATACATAGTAATCAAATTAATTCAAAAGGATAAATGTAAACAAAGTAACTCAATCTTAACAGCAACATTTGTCTATATTTAAGTGCAAAATAGTTCCATTAAATTTTTAAAGTCAGTTAAAATAATCTAATCTGAACCAAAAACATAAAAATTTTGACTAAAAGTACTTTCATCTTCGTCATATGTATTATATTTTTTTTCCAGTTAAGATTTTTAATTAATTTTATACGGCAAAAAATTTATTTGTTCCATTTAGAATGCTATCATCAAAGGGTTTTATTACTTTGCACTTAGAAGTTTTAATAGTTTATCTACACTATTCCTTCAATAAATATTATTTTTAAAATTCCTTAATTAGAGCATACAGTATACCACTAGGAGGCATTCAGATTCTTCTATGTAACAATTACGGACCAGATTTATTTCTCTCACATATTTGAACTAGAGGGAAATGAAAATGGGGTTGATCTCAGTTGTGTCAATTCTTAGAGAGCTTGCATGTGCTCCCTGGTTGTAAATGAGGTAACTTTAAATGTTTCAGTGTAACTTGATGGGCTAAAAGCACTTATGTAGCTGTGAAAGGCAGTTAATTTACTCAATTTCTTCATCTGCAGATAGATGGCTTTTAGAAGAGCTCATTTAAAACCGTTTTAAAAAGGAAAGTATTCTTTTTTATTGTTGAGAAAATAATTAACAGTGTAACAAGAGGGAAAAAATGCATTCTCAAAATGAGGAATTATAATAATAGTAACTTATTTTACTAGGCACACCCAGAGTCCAAAGCACTCTATTAAATGCTACAGCTGTTTCCCTTTGCCCTTAATGGTTATCCTTAAGTGAAGTTATGAATTTCTCACTAATAAGGCACAATATCATCGGATGAATTTGACTGGTTTCTTAGAGGATGATTTCTGCAACGGGAAGCAAAGTCACAAACTTTCTGCAAAGGCCAGCATTCAGCAGAGGGTCATGCCAGCTAATCAAGATCTACCAGGAAAGAAGGAAGCTCTACAGGATTTGTTAGCTTCTTAGATGCAGGGGATCAGTGACAAGGAGAGGTAAAAATGCTACCCATCCCACATCCCCACCCCGCCCCAAACCTCAGTTTCTGGCCTAAGCGACCAGGACGAATTATTTAAAGAAATATAACAAAAGTGTCAGGTTCAGGTGGGACTGTAAGGAATGTGCTCTCACAAATATTGATTCTGTTAACTATGAGACATCCAAGTGGAGATTTCCAAAGAAGGCAGAAACCTACCAAAGAAGATCCCCCTTACACACCTAGCATCATGTAATAACTATGTGATTTAAAAAATAGAGAAGATACTATTACAGCCTATACTTTGTAGAGGAGATAGTAAAGTTGTAAGTAAAAAAAAAATACAATTAAGAAAAAATAAATTTACTAGGAAATTAAACACAGTTATATGCAAGTTGTATAAGGTAAGAACGATTAAGTACATCGTGGACAAAAGTTAGGGACTGGCCATTAAGAGGCTGTGCCACTCTGGCACACCTGCAAATATAACCAGATCCCAGTTTCCTAATCTTCAAAGTAAGAAATATATGCTAGACGATCTATAAACCCCGTCTCTGGGAGATCTAACATTCTCTATGCTTAGATCAGATCAATTCTAACATTTTGTATTTTTAGTAATAATTAAGAATTGTTTTTTCCATATGGGTGGTTAACAGAACATTTTAACTAGACTATAATTCAGATCCACCTTCGAAATCTATCTAAACATAATCTCTAAAAGCTTTAAAGCACATTAGGTAACTGTGAAATTGGAGACATTATAATAATTTACTTGCTTAATTCAACAGAGTTTTTGAGTACCTGCCAGGTGCCATCATAAATCTCTACTAAGCAACAGGGACACAAAACAGGACAAGTTACATATCAGTGGGGAAAGCAAACAATAAACAAGTGAAACACATATTATGTCAGAGGTAAATTTTATGAAGAAACCTAAAGCAGGGTAAGAGCAGAAGGGCTATTCTAGACAGGAGCATAGGGACAAACTCTGATGTGGCCACATCTGCACTGAGACCTGACTGAAATATGGGAGCCACGTATGGTGCACTAGGGGAGAGGGGCATTCAGGAGTCCTGAGGTGGGAGCAGGCTTGGCACCTTCTTGGAGTAGTAGGGGGTCGGCTGATTAGATTAAACGGGAGAACAGCAGGAGTTGAGGTCAGAGAGGAAGCAAGGTCGGAACTGAAGAGCCTCCTGGGACACAGCAAAGACACCAGATTTCATTCTGGATAAGATCTGAACACAGTGCTAACTGTCACAACAAATCATTTACCTAGAACATTTCCAGAACTTTGCAAATTAAGGAAAATAAACAACATACTTTGGAAGATTGCTTTGCAGAATAAAGTTCTATAAAGAAATGAGATCAAATGGAGTATAGTCTATAAAAATACTGAATCACTATGCTGTACACCTGAAACTAGTATAATATTATAAATCAACTACATGTCAATTAAAAAAAAAGAAATGAGATCAATTTATAAGCCAAGTAAGAAGGAAAATCTTCTTACTTTTAGGTTATTTATGAAATATTGAATCTTTAAGCTTAAAGGGAAATGCTAATCGTATTTCTTTGGATCAGAATTACTCAAAATTCTATGATAGGTTCATGATAGGGCTAGAACCCCACAGCACTCTCTGACATTCTGTCAGCTGTTTCTCTACCACCACATAAGCTGTTCTTCATGAAAGCAGGGGAGAGGAGAGAAGAAGATTCGGTGTTTGGGTTAGAACACGTTCCTGGCATAACATCCTTGAAACTGAAGGACTGATACACTGCTATCACTGAACACACATGAAGTGTACTAAATAAAGCAAAAAAAGGTTAAAGAAAAAAAATCTTCGTTAAATGGCACAGGAATATTTAAATGCACATATAATTTCACAAAGCACACTCAATATATTGAACTGATTGAGACCCAAAGTGTTGACTGACACAAAATAAAATCACTGGGATATTTATTTCCCATACAGTACAACTGTAAAATAAGTACATATGAAAACCGTGTGAAAGAGACAAGAACTGGGGCCTGTGAAATCAGAGGGAGAAACCTGACAACAAAGGTTGGCAACAGTGAGCTTAGTGGTGGAATAAAGGCACCCAGAGCTTCCCATTCTGGCCACAGGTCTAAGGGAGTTGCTCTCACTGACAACAGTAACGAGAGCAAACGTTTACATGATGCTAGCTCTGTGCCAGGAACTATTCTCAGCACTTGACATACTCAGAGTTAGTGCTACAACAACCTTATGAAACAGGCAGTATTATCGCTACTCCCATTTTACAGATCAGGACACTGTGGCAAAGTTACACCAATTGCCTGAGATCACACAACTGGCAAGTGGCAAATCCAGGAGACCAATGCCAGCAGGCTCCAGAGCCCAATAACCAGTACATTAACCTGCCTTTTGATATACAAAGATTCAAAATTCCCATTCATTATAAGGTTTTGAATAATATATGCTGGCTGAGAATATTTTATCCTAATTATATAGTGGAGAATGAGTCTCTGACTGAACAGACAGACAAGAACAGCTGACCTTTAAATGAAAAATTCAGGGTCTAGGACAGAGATGCAATTTACAGAAGTTTCCCAGGCATCACAGTCTGCGCCTTCAGCAG